TTAAAGCTCTGAACCCAAAACAAGTCACTGAGACTTGGGCAGTTTGGTTTGATTGTGAGGTTTTCTTGGACAAAGACTAGGCACTGGAGAGTGCAAATGAGCTTTTCCTACTATGAACAAACTTCTAGTAAAGAAAACTCGTTGGGGTGAATAGACCCTCCTTTCTATTTTTTTTTTAAAGATTTATTTATTTATACAAGAACTGGGGTACAGGCCAGATGTGCAGGAGAGTAAGAGGATTCACCAGAGACAGAGCGGGGAACATAACAGGCAGACTAACAAAATACACTGCTGAGGGGAGCAGCGGGCAGGACAGGAGAGGTCTGCTTGCCATGTGGGTTGCTCTGAGGCGGGCGGGGATCGAACCGGCACTGCAGAGGCTACGGACAGCTTCACAGTGCGGCGCTCAACCGCCAGTGCCACCAGGGAGGCCCAGACACTTGTTTCTTTAAGTTGAAATTCTTCTTGGTTCAAATTCACCAAATGTAGTTTTCCTCTTTACAATATTTGACTATAGAAGGTCCCAGAACTGTTGGTAAGAGGAAGTTAAACACAGTGGGAAAAATGTTGCCATGATAATCCAAGTGACTCAGGCCAGAGGGATAGGGGAGGGTGGGATCCCGGAGGTGGGAGTTAAAGGGAGGGGTCTCCATAACCTTTTCAAAATGCAAGGTATTTCCACCTTATGGAGGAGTCAGCAAACTACATCTTGCAGGTCAAGTCCAGCCCATTCTAGAAACTAAGAAATTTTAAAGGGTTGTAGCAGAAGCAGCAACAAAAAAGCCTTATGTAGTCTAGAAAGCCTTAAAATATTTAGTATCTAACCCTTGACAATAAAAAGATTACTGCCCCTGAGATGACTCCACAATTCCCTAAGGCTTCCCAGTGCTCCTTCACTGGGTCTCTTGTAAACAACCATTGATGGGAGAAAAAAGAGGGTGGAGAAGATTTTGTGGGAGGCTTTAGAACCAGGTCTGGAGAAGGTATGGTGCCTAGTGTCTGCATTCCTTTGTGTAGAACTGAGTCAGGTGACTGCAGCAATCTGAAAGGGAGGTGAGGAAAGACAGCCCAGCTGTGCATCTGGTGGGAAAAGTGTCTTGGTGAAAATGCGGGCGTTACACACACACAAGCTCTACTGTCAGAAGAGTAGAATAGGCAGCTGCTCCCAGCATTGGGGAAAAAGCCAGCGCACTTCAGACTGAGATTATGAGGTTATCACAGTGATTTCCAAGAAGAGGTCAAACCTGGATGGAAAGTCATTCAAAGAGTGGGAAACACAGGTCACTTGAATGAGATAATCAGATCATAAGGTGAAAAATGCAAGGCTCACTCAGAGAATCATATTTAACAAGGAAAGAGACCACATAGGAAGATTCTGGGAAATATGCTTAGAAAGATAGGTTAAAAGACCATGAGTGTCAGGCAGTGTACGTGGATGTCAACTTTTAAAAATCATTCAGCTGGGGTTGTATTTTTCTAATTTTTTGTCTCTCATGTGCATTGTCAATGAGTCTGGAAACCCTACATCTTGAGTTTCTTCTTTGACATCTCTGGGTGAAAAATACTTTCAGATGACAGAAATGTTGGAATTTCAAAAATTGAAATGAAATTATAAAATTTGATCCATCTCTTTGGAAAGAAAATCATATCTTAAGTCATACATTCAAAAGAATATATAATAACATTTATATTCAGTTTAAATACTAATAATAAAATGAACACTCAGGCACTCACTACTGGCATAAGTAAAAAGAAAACATGGCCAGTATTTGTGACAACCCACCCCCCCCCACCATACACACACCATACCCTCCTTAATACCATCTCCTCTCTCTTATCCCTCCTCTTTCAAAAAACAATAACCTGAATTTTTATTTTGCTAGGCTTTACAGTTTAACGACCATCGTATAGAATCCTAGAAACAAAATTTACCTGCTTCTGACGTTTATGTAGAAGGAATCAGATTACACATATTTTTCTAGCTTATTTTCCCTCAATATTGTGTTTTTGAGATTCATGTAAGTTGATGGTACTTGTAACTGATTGTTAATAGATTTATAGAATGTTCTATTTTGTTATCCATTCTTGTCATCATGGCTAATCTTCTTTCTTTTTAAATTTGAAATGATTTATGTCTTCCAAAAAAGACATTAAAATGAGTACAAACAAAACAAGGAACAACAACAACAACAAAACAGGAAATAAGATCCTGGTGAAGGATACTTTGCTCTTTGAAGATTTAAAAAGTCTGCCTATCTCTCCTTGGAACTCCTTGTCCCTGTAGGAATATAGAGTTTACCTTGTCAGGTTCTACTTGATTTGTGGTTAGGTTATATTTATCTGTACTCTTTTGGGTGGTTTGTTTTTTCAAATCACCAGTTCCTGTATGTGATTGAGAGATTCTAGTTACTTCGAGACTGCCCTTCTCCCTTTGACCTCACCCTCATCTCTAGCCCCAGCAGTTAAGAACATTCAAGGCATTTTCCTACTAATAGGTCTCAGATTCCATTAGAGGGCATTTTTTGCAAAGGCCTCCATGGGAAAATTTCCTTGCATACTGCTGACAACATATGCCATGGCCCATACAATCCAGCTCTTCGGGATATAATGTAAGCCTGACAATGATAATTCTATATTCATCCTCATTCTTAAACTTTTGTTCTTGAATCTGTTAATAAGTCAATTTCACAAATGAAATAAACTATCGTCACCTTCAGGTCTGGAGCCTGACACACATTTCCCAGTCCTGTGGATCCTCCCATCCTTCTACCCCCGGAAGCCTGGAGACCCTGTTGTAGCACCCCGAAAGTCCACACACAAGCCCACCAGAGACAATAGTTCAAGGCCATAGCTCTAGTCTCCCAACGTAATGCAGGTTTCAATCATCTGATCTTTTCCTGCAGAAAGAGACAAGAAGATATTTCAGTTAGTGCTGGAAAATTTTACTTCTCAAACATTGCTTTAAGTTTTTCTTCCTTTTTGTTGTATATTTCAGGGAAGGTTTCAGTTGCAAATAATTAGCATATGTTTGCCTTATGAGAACAACGTGAGTTGCAAAAACTCATTTTTAAGCTTTTCTGCTTAAAGCAATCAGTTCCATAAATTATACATCTGTGATACTATGCATTTTCCAATAGGTAATCTAAAGCCAACCTGCACGAATACTCATTTTCACATTAAAAGTAGGAGCAGCCTGGAGGCCTGATTTTGTATCTCTTTCTCACTCAATCTCTCTCTTTTTTTTTTTTTTTTTTTTTTTGCTGAGAAGCAGATACTCTTTTGAAAATCTTATTTATTTCTGACAGAAAGTTTTATTTCTATCTTCAGGATCATCAGGTTAGATTTGTGTAATCAGTTCAGCAAGCTGCTTTTTAAAGTGATAAGTAAATATCAAATTAAACTTGTAATTAAAGTTTGCTAAAAATATAAGTTGCTCTAATTTTGTTGGTTATCAAAGTACAGAAGTAGAAACAATTAATGATGATTACTAATTATGCAGTAGATTCAGAGCAAACAAATCTATAGAACCATGGGCTTAGAGCTAAATCAGCACTTCATTCTAGAAAAAAACCTTCGTATAAAGTGTCCAAATGGAGCACATTTTCAGGTAGTACTTAAACAGTCCATCACCTATCACTTAGCCTGACAAAGAAAGCCAGAAAAGTTTAGTGCTAAGATGGCCAGCTCATCTCTCTTTCATTGTGGTTGTTTTGCTGACTTTTAAATTTGGCTTAAAGAAAATATCATTAATGTGAAAAATCATTAGTTATGAATAATGGAGAGAGAGGGCCAGCTGGTTAAAATTCTGAGTTCTTTCATAAAGTTTTACATTTCACATTAAAAATGGTTTACTGGTGAGATAAGTGGAAATCATTACATAGTAAAATCACTAATTATTCTACTTGCAGAGGAGCTGGGTTTGATTACCTTGCCTACAACTTAAAATAAAAGCTACAAATTAGTTGGCGCTCAAATTTTTTTTAACTTTAAACTCCTTTTAATTAGAGCAGAAATCATTTTTTCCTTTTTCTGTTCATGACTCCTATAGAAAATCATTATTTTGTGAGAAACAATTTCAAAAATAAAATTGAAAAATTTCAAAAATTCAAAAATAGAACAAGAGATCTGTAAAGACTTTATGAACTTGTAGCATTTCAAAGTTAGTTTTCCTATATCCCAGTTACGGGGTGCTTTCAGTACTCATTTAGTGAGAAAAAAAAAAAAGAAAAAGGAAAGAAAAAGAGAAAGAAAATACAGAGAGAAATAAGAGGGTGGGATTATCAGGGGAGGAGAGAAGAGGGTGCTGTGACTGCCATGGATGTTAGGCAGGGAATACTGCTTAGGAAGGAAATTGATGAGAGTGAGAAGGAAAAAAGAAAATGATGGACACATGGAAAAAGTTGTCACTTACCAAGTGTAGCTCTTGAGACCACCAAACTAAAGTTATAATTCTGTAGGTATTTAATGGAAAAAAGCTGAATTCAATAAATTATGCACTTTTCCTTCACAGAGTGGTGAGGTGAATGGGGAAAAAACGATCCCAAATCCTCTAGCTACAGGTCATACGTGGAAGGTAGTTCCTCCAGAAGTAAGTGCAGGTGACCTTGGGAATGCTATGGAACATATTTACTCTTCTTTCCTGTGATGGGAAATGGTGATAGAGTATCCATCAGCCTACACACCTCACAGGATCATCTGAGGAGACTCTGAGATTGTTTTTTGCATGAAAGTTCTTGGAAGGCTGTAAAGCACCAAGGTAGCCGATACCACAGGCTGTAAATAAACATATGCTGGTCCTGAGCTTGGCAGTGGAAAGTCAAATGCAAAAGAATGTAGGTCAAGTGAATTTTAAGAAGGAGGCAGCTTAATCATAGCCTGATTTAATAAAACCACCTTTTAAATTTGTTGAGTATTCAATCTTATCCAACAGAGCTTAAACCATTTTGTTTTAGTGGCATGATCGTAAGAATGTAGGATTTTTTTTTTTTTTTTTTATACAGAGAGGTTCAAGGAATGTTGCGGGAGTACCCAAGACCTTCATGATTAAGATGTGTTCTCAGGGGAGCTGGGAGTTGACTGCAAGTATTACAGCTCTCAAGGGACTTGCATCTGCCTCTCCAGAATGACACAGAGCAAACTGCAGAGCTGGACTGAGAAAAGCATGCCTGGCAGCAACTGGCCAGTTAGCGCGGCAGACAAAAGTGGTTAGGACAAGGATGAAGGCAGGATCAGAGAGCTGCAAGCACAGTCACTTGATTTTGACAGCAGCTCAAACTTCTGGGACTCCAGAAAGGAAATAGACATTTGGAAAGAGATATGACGAAAGGCTTTTCCCGTCAACTGCTCAGCATGTGGTACTGACTTTTGATGGAGTATCAAAAAAAATAATAATAAAAAAGCTGTCGCTTATCCTCTCAGAGCTTATCAAGGGTTTTATCACATTTTTATAAAATATAATCTTAGCCCAGAAGCTTTGTTTTCATGAGGGTGTGTCTAGTCTATGGGTGGAAATTTCCATAATTTTTTCCATTCCGGTCTGTGTTCTCCCTCCTTTGTTGGGTGGTTCGGGATTTCAGTTCATTGTGATCCTAACACACTGTAAGCCTCAGAATCAACTTATTTGAGATTTTAAAGATCCAAGGACCAAAATGGTGCTGGTGGGTGGGAAATCACAGTTCTTTTGGGATAGGACCAAATATTTGCCAAATGTCTGTATGAAAAATAAACATGACTTTTGCTTACTGAGTCAATGATTCACTTATACTTGTTAGATGATTAGTCAACCAATAACATGTCAAAAAAACCATATGTGCACAGAATCAAGTGTACAACATGAGAGTATAAGCTCCAAAGAAGAGGAGGAATAATTCATTTGCTGCTAGACCCTCAGTGCTTACTATTGCTCTTAGCACACACACAGTGCACACTCAGTATTTTTAACTGAGTAATTCACTGAAAGTGAGAAGGGGTGGATATTGTGTTTTCTTGTATATTTGTCACCTTTCTACCACAGAAATGTGGTCAAACAGATATATCCTCTTAACCACCGGTGATCATAGGGTTTTCTTTCCTGAGAGATACATAAATAAGACTCTAAACAACATATTTCCTGCTAGGGAATTCATGTTATATGATATTAATGATCTCCATTAGTCCTTATATAACTTTTATTGGTGTTTCTTATCTGAAAAATAAATTATTTTCCTTAAGAATAAACACTTTATAGACTCAGCAAATTAACTGAAAGGACCAATTTTGCCACCAAATGGTAGCATTGTACACTTAAGTCCCTTTCCTACTTATGGTCTTCCTGACTCCTGTGTTAGAGACAGGTGTTGATGGTTGTTATTCTTCGATGAGAGTTTACAGAAATCTAGGCATTGTTGGGTGGACAGAAGTCTTTGTCAGGATATCATAAATTTGTTTGAGATAAAGAAAGGTCTATTTGAAAACCATCTTCCCCTTCAGCTTTTCTTCCCTTAGCTGCTCTCTGTGTGAATTCTGTCCTTTCAGTCACTTCAGAGCTTATTAAATTGACACACACTCACATATACACACTCCTGAACACAGACTGATCCTTTTACATTAAGTCTTTTATTTTCTAAGAGAAACTCATAGATTCATCTAGTAAGAGACCATAGCTGATGTCTGTCCTCTCTTAGACAATAAACTGGAGAAACAAGAAAAAGTGTCACTACATGGGAACAGGCCCACAGTGGGATGCTCTCCTTTCTGGATCAATGAGTTCTGAAACTGTCATGGTACTTTATCAGCCCCCAACGAGCAACACTCCGGCAGCCTGGAGAGCAAATTCTGAGGTATTCTTGTCATTACAATGAAAAAACAGATCACAGTCTCATTCACCTGCAGCACACTTTTTAACTTAAAAACAAATTCTGATTCTTTGAAGAATAAACATTAAAAAAAACACTCAAACCTAAACAAATTTTAGTCTCTCTGGAAAAGCAATTGATAAATATACTCAAACTGTGAATATATATTTTCACACTGTTAAGCATTTATTTATTAAAAGATACTATGTGTTTCTGGAAGCAGTTTTTTTGAAAATCTCCCCAGGAACAACACACACACACACACACACACACACACACACACACACACACACAAACATTCTATTGAATCAAAATGTCATTTATCAGGATTCTTTAGCAAAGAAGCCCATGCCAGAATAGATATCTACTTATTTTTACTATATTCTCCACCCTAAAATAGCCTGCTCTAATAATCTCCTGTAGTTGTATTTGGGTAGCTTTGTAATGTGTCAATTTGTTTGGGATGAACTACATTTCCCCCAGATTCCTGCTTCTTTAGGTTTCTGGTTTAGGTGGCTTATAAATGAGATCCTGACGGGAAATATGAAGTAGAAGTGAAGCAGCAGCTGCATTCTGGCTCCCTGACGCTCTTGCTGATCTGCTGACTCACCTCATTGGTGGGAGGCAGTGGGGGCTTACAAGGACTGGATCCACTTTCAGTGTCCCTGATTCTTGTACCTGGCAAGCAAAAAGCAGCAACTTCTCCAGACACAGTGGTAAAGCATTTACATGACAGAAGGTGGGAAATAAATCCCATAAAGAAAATCAGGGCCCAGCAACCTTAGTGAATGGACTACGTTTCCACTCCAGGACATGCGGAGGTACCCTTTCTCACCCATTTTCTGAGTGATTCAAAAAAGTAGTCAATTATGAATGGGATCCAGAATAAAATGAAGCTCTGCAGGAAGTCCAGATATTACACAAGTAGTTTTACCATGTGGACCACATAACCTAGAAAATCCAGTGATGCTTGAAATGTCAGTGACAGATAAGGATGCTCTGACTTGCGCCACTGAATCAACAGGCAGAGAAGAGGGTGATTATAACTGGGCTACTTCTATAAGGAGAAGTTAGAGTACTATGTATCTAATGCTGAAGATCCTCTAAGTTGCCTTTTACTATTCCCATATATGATGATTAAGAGTAGTAGAAAGCTATGTCAACTCAATTAGCAGGACTGCTAAAAGTTCACACATTTAAGGAATGACACTTTGGCTTACCCCCTCAGACAAAGATACACAACTAGTTTAAGTGTTTGTTCAGAACAAAGGATCATGGAATTAATAGTGGAAGAAAGGAGCTATAAATACTAGCTAAGACAATATGATCAGTTGCAGATACAAATACTGTAATAGTTATATTTCTTTCTTATTATGATATGACTATATCTACATGTGTGTATACATGTGTACATAAATGCAAAATATATAAGCAATTATTTCTGCATTTGTCATTTTTCACATCCCTTATCTGCTAATGTAAGATGTATTAATAGCAGGTAACTTAATATCTCATTATGTAAATTAAAGGACAGCAATGGGGAAGTGTGAATCAAAGAGAATCATACTAATGAAAGAGTGAACACCACTCCATCAAAAAAAGTAATTTTTGACTCTCTTCTGGGGAAAAGATTAGTGTGTTTGGGTTGTTCTTGGTAGATATGTTGTGTTAGGTGGAGACATGACTGTTATTACTTTATTTGGAGATTAATTATGATTTAAGGAGATGTGTATCCATGCCAAGTCATCAAGGAGTGGCTTTGTGATTAGTGGACTTGAGTAGGTTGAATTACATCTTCAGAATTCCCTTTGATGAGTATTTCTCATTAAGGTGGTTCACAAGAGAGATTCTTGTGCAAAGTTTGGACAAGGAAGTAAACAGCAGCCATTTTATAGTTTACACATGTTGACTTTTCTCTGCAGTATCACCTTCTGAATGAGGCAGCCTCTGGTCTTGTAACTGCTTCAGATTCCCCTGAATCCTCCTTGTCCACAGATTCTAGGCCAGTTTTCTGATGAAGGGCCCTGCTTCTGCAGAAAATCCATGAAATCAAAGTCAGGGAGGTTAAAAATTAATATGAGTTTCAGTCTGTCCTTGTAAGTTATAGCTCCTGTCCATGGGTTCCAGCTTGTTCTGGCTCTTCCCCATTTCACATCCATCTTGCTTTCCTGATCACCTGTTCTTGAACTTCAATTGCTCTAGCAATAGATGTGAAGACAACAGCCTCCTAGAACCACAGTTATGAATGGTTAAATCTCTGTAACTATATGGCATATAGTTATGTGTCAACTATATAGATATACGTCATTCAACATATATATGTATATATCCTAGTGTTTCTGCCTCTGTCATTTAACCTTGATGGATACAGTATTTTGGTTGAATTTTAAAAGGCTACATTCTTTTTTTTAAAAAAAAGATTGATTTATTTATGCATGCAAGAGCTGGGGGGTCAGGCCAGAGGTGCAGGAGGGTGAGAGAATTCACCAGAGATAGCGTGTGGAGCAGAACTCCAGTGGATCCACTGAGGTACACTGCTGGGGGGAGCAGTGGGAGAAACATGAGAGGTCTGCCTTGTTATGTGGGTAGCTCCCCGGCCGGGGATCGAACTCGTGCTGCAGTGCCTGCGGATTGCTTCATAGTGCTGAGACAACCCCTTGCACCACCAGGGATGCTCCTAAAGTTTACATTCTTTAAAAAAAAAAAAAATCTCAGCTCTATTTAGGTATAACTGTCATACAATAATTGTGCATATTAAGTTGTATAATTTGATAAGTTTTGACATAAATGACAACAATGAAACCATCACTGTAATCCAGACTGAACAAATTTGTCACCTACAAAAGTTTGTTATGCTTCTAACACCTCCTGTCCTGACTTTCCTTCCTATGCTCTCGAGATAATTACTGATGTGCTTCCTCTTACACTAGATTACTTACCATTTTCTATTACACAGCATAAATTTATTCTGAGATTCATGTATGTTGTTATGTGTTCATTCTAAAGTAGTTTAACCTAAAAGGATAAATTCTTCATGAATAGCATTTTCTTTAAGTATGGATCCATCACAGGCATTTAGGTATATGTGCCTGGGCCTAATTCAGAGAAGCAGAAATCCAGGCAGTCAGATATGTTAACAGCATTTCTTGGTAGCAGGAGAATCAAGGGATAACATCATCACTTCAGACTCCCTGTTAACTGGTGAGGCTTAAGCTTTTAGGAGAGAACATTCAAAGGTTGGTCACTGCAAAACAGAAATTTTGGCCAGTGAAGAGGACTGGATGGTGCCATCTCCGGAGGTTATCTAAGAAACCAGGGAGGGGATGGGTCACCAACCCCTAAATTTTGAGTGCGGCATCTTCTGAGAGACATGAAATAACATCAGTCTGAATAAAGATGAGTCATTCTTACTCTTCTTTTCTTCAGCACCGTCAACATGTAAATTCAGCAGCCCCAGAGTGGATACTTCTACCTTGTTTTGCTCTGGCCCAGTTTTCTCTCACTATGCCCAGATAAACCAGGAGTGGCAGAGTATTCCACAGGGTCCGTGAAAGCCTCCAAACATGAGTCATGGAAAGCAACATAATGTAGTGGGCATTTGATTGAAAATCAAGAAATTTGGATTTTAACCTAGATTTGGTAGTTATTTATTAGCTGTGGGAATTGGGAAAATCAGATTATATCTGAATATCATTTCCTCAGTTGCAAACTAACAGAGATGAATTATGTGATTATGAAAATCTCCCCATTCAATGCATCTAAGAATGGGATAATAAAAACCTAGAAAATTTGCATGCATAGTCATGCCAAGAATTATATAGACAACTTGAATCAAATCCCCATTTGCAAGCACTAGTTACTGAAACATAGTCAGCCAGTCTTCCACCTACCTGTTCACTCATCCGTGCCTGCATCCATCCGCTCAACCATTCATCCATCATGTATGCATTCATCTGATAAATACTTTGTAATAACTAATATGTACAAGACATTGTACTTTGCAGTGGAGACAGGAAGATGATTATGACTCAGGTCCTTCTTCAAGATGCTCATAGTTCACTGATGAAAATAATATATAGATAATTGATTATACAAATTCATTATTTCAATAATAAATATATAAAAACAGACAAGGTGGTCTGGTAATATCTTGATTCTCAGAAATTTATACAGAGAATCTTGTATAGAATAACTGGTCTTTTGTTGATATCACTGAATATGGGTCAGTTATTAGGTCAAAAAGCAATTCAGAAAGTACTGCATAGAGAACATGAGAGAGGGGCATTAAAAATGTTAATCTCAAGGCTTGTCTCTTCAGAAACTTGGATTCGCCCTTATTCATTGTCATGTCTTATGCCAGTGATATATTTGTTATATGTACTTAGTATTGCAGCAAATCTGGAGAAAGAAAAACAGGAAAGAGAAGAAAATCTGAATTCTATTCTCCACATAGCTAAGCAGGTGACCATCAATTTTCCCTGCTAAAAAAGGTCCAAATTTGAAGCCATGAACTTCTAAGCAAAGGAGACATTATCTAGAAATGATCAAATTTAATTAACCTAATGATATTAACATACACTCAAATAAATGTGATGGGTTTAAAGGAGGTTCATCCACATCCTCCTATGTTTTTGAGGTTTATGATTCATAAAATGCTGAAATCTTTACTAATTAGCATCTAATTTCTCCAGAGATGATCTTAATCATTAAACTATTTTTCTAAAGATATCTCTCCTTTATTCTTTTTAGTTTTATGAAAATCAAACAGCTTTAGGTTAATGATTAAAAGAGAAGAACCAGCTTATACCAGCAAAGAAACCCCTACCACCACTTCTGTTTTTTGTTCTTGTACAGTGGAAGATACTGCTAAGTAAACAGCATATGTACAGTTTAATTGTTGCACTGTAAATGTTTAGCTATTCAAAAGAGCTGGTGAAATGTGCCCTCCTATTCACTTCCCTAAAGCCAGTGAGCTGGGTCATATGACTGGCTGACCTCCCAGCACCACCTACCTCCACTCCGTGAGATGCCATCAGATCCCACCCAGAGGAGTCAGTCATCCCCAAGAAACAATGAGCAATTCTTACAAGACACAACTGGAGCTCTGTTACTGTGGCACAGGAAGGCTTGATAAGATCTCCCAGCCACAGCATTCTTTTGTGTCAGCAGACGCAAGTGGGATGTTCCTTCTGCAGCTCTTACAGAGCCAGAGGAAGCAGACTTTGAAACACAATGTTCATTGAAATCAGCTTTCATCTAAGGAATCCCATGGTGGCTCCTGCTTCATGATGTGCATTCTGTCTGCAGCTGAGCTCTCCTGATACATTTCCGTTGTTTGTTCTGGGGGAAGGCAGCACCTTTAGGAATCTCACTCTTTTGCTAGGTAAAGACTATTGCATTGTCTTGGGCAAATCATTCTGTGTCAGGATGTCTCCAGTGAGTCTGGAGCCTAGAAGGAACATTAAAAATAAAATGAAACAACAGTAAATGCCTCCACCTCCTGCCTCACTGATGAAGCACTAGCTACGTGAAGGGAGGATCACAAAGCATCCTTGATGGCGCCTGGGTGATACATGCAGCAAGTATTAGGGGCAGAATTTAGGGGCAGAAAGTATTTGTTGCTGTCATTACTGCATTGGGCATAATGCCACAGGCCACACTGGTGCAACGAATGGGTCTGGGTACTTTGGGCCCAATAGAACCTGCTCAGAAGCAGTTTGGACTCCATTACCCATAGGGAGGCAATTTTGACATTTAAGAGATAAAAATGGGGAGGAGAAAGTGATCAAAAGTATCAAATCACAGGTGAGAAGTCTCTCTATCTTACTGTCCCATATTTATAATTTAGAAATTCACCTTTCTTTTAAGGAAGGCATTCTCAATTCATCCAACAAAAAATCTTTTTGATTAAGATGATTAATCTAAGTCAGTTCATGTAGAAACAAATCAACGCTATATAGTCCATCTTTTCTTCTGCCAGTTCCTCCTCACATCTGTCCTTGCCCTTCCTTCTCTATTCCTCACGATCTGGACTAACCAGTTCACAAAGGGACTTAAACAATTAACCCTCAGTAAGGAAAGAATACTTTTTCACCTCAATGGTGCTTTTAATTGCATTTCTTTTCCTTTGCATTTTCTCCCTCTGACTCTTAAAAAAAGAGGACAAAGTTAGGTAGGCACTATTTACTTTAGTAGTAGAGAGAGTCAGTAGAAGACTGACAGACAGGACAAGATTAGTAGAGAATTTCATAAAGAACTGGCAACAGAATATAAAGGAAAATTCACATGTCAAGTTGGTGGCCGAGCCCTTGTCATTAGATCTGGCCCCTTAGATATGTGGATAATCAATTAGTCTCCCAAGACCAAGATCAAGGCTGAACTTCATCCCCTTCAGAGGGCTGAAGTCCTACATATGTCTCTGTGCTTATGTGAAGGTAGAGGTGACAGACATACAAGGAGATATTGAACTGGAAACTTGAGGAAACTGGCAGTTGTTTCTTGGAATCCAGTGTACTTGTTCTAGTCTAAAATGAACAGACGTCAATCTTGTAACTGACGCAGGACATTGATGAAAATGACAATCCAGGCTGTTAACTTTCCCAAGAATGAAATGAAACGAAGAAGTACCAAGAATAAGGATTCTAGCTAAACTCCATGAGGAGAAACCAAAACTTCTCTCTAAATGTATATGTAGCAGAACTAGTAACAGAAGTCTTGAATACCTAGAAATTTTTGTGAAGTCTTTTTGGGATATTTGGGGGAAAGAATTTGTCCAAACTTAGGTACAGCAAAAGTTTCTAATAGCCCCTTACTTACCTCTGACTTGAATAGCTCATCCCTGATTGCAATAGGCCTCCAGGATAGAGAATTTATATTAGTGATTAACTTTGGGTAGAAATGTGTGAAACATTTCTTCCTTCTTCATCCTCTTCCTCTGACCTTGGGTCAGGGAATAAAGTGAAATACATGGTTAAATAAAATGGATGGCCAGTGGCCAGACTTTGAAAAGTGTCTTTCTGTGGTGAGTCGTCTATTCTGAGACTCTTTCTAACATTAAGAACTTATGACTAAAATTCCTTGGAGAATAATGTTGGTGTATATAATTTTATACATATATTGGTGTTCATTGGATTAAGGTCACACAAATGATGTACAGAACAGATGCCACATTATTAGATTAAAGCACATCTAATTCAGTTCATTTTACTTCAGGCCAAAACAAACAAACAACTTGCTGAATACTTGCTTTGTACCTAAGACATAGAACTTACAGCAAATAAAAATATATATCCTTGCCCTAAAGGACATCACACTGTGGTTTGGAGGAAAGAATTTGTCCAAACCTAGGTACAGCAAAAGTTTCTGATATCCCCTTCCCTACGTCTGACTTCAATAGCTCATCCCTGATTGCAATAGGCCTCCAGGATAGAGAATTTATATTAGTGATTAACTTTGGGTAGAAATGTGTGAAACATTTCTTCCTCAGTTGTGACTAGATTATTTTGGTATAATATAGAGTATGCTGAGTTGAGTGGGAGTGGTAGCATGGACCCTAACTAGGATACTAATTTAACTCACTTTGTAAAGAAACAGAATTGTGAGGAGGTGATGTCTGAAATGATACCAAAGCCTCTAAAGCAAATATCTAGGTAAATGTAGGAAAGGAGATTCTGGACAGAAGGACTAACATGAGAAAAGTAAGAAGGCCTGAAACACAATGTCCATTTGGGAATAAGTAATGGATATTTCTGGAATGTTGAGAGTCAGTCAGAAATGAAGCAGGCACATCTGCAGGGGCCAGGTATGAAAACTATCTTGGGATTTTAAAGCTTCGGTTAGGAGATATATATATATACATATATATATATAAATATATATTATATATATATATAAAAGACATCAGAACAGGATGTAGGTCATAGTACTTTCTGATGCTGCAACCTCAGGAACTAGACAGTGTGGGGTCATGGATCAAAGAAAATTAAAGACAAGGTTGAGGTTATGCTAAGATCAAAAGATTTTCTTAAGAATGATGAGAGACAACTAGATTTGAAGGCAGGGGTGAAACATTATGACACCTTGACCACTTGCTTATGGCCTCTGAGGAGAGCTTTAAAGCACATTAGCAATGTGACTTTTTTTCCTCAGAAGCAACCAATAGGACATCTACAAAGACCATAGTCCTGACTGCAATTCCATGTACCTGAGAATAAATGAGAAAGAAATCAGAACACAATAAAATAAAAAAGGAAAGGAAGAAGATCAAACTCTGCAGGGTGTGTGTAAAATATTTCCACTGACCTCAACTTATGGGATTAGAAATGGAATGGAAAGGAAATGGTTAGAAGATAGACGATTGAATATAAGCTTTTAACTTGCTTTATAGGAAGCAAACAGGATGATTTGACAAAGAGTAATGTGTGTTTAGAAAATCAGAAGTGAGGAGAAATTTTAAAAGCATTCATTGCTTGGGAAATTGATAGAAACTATTTTAGCAAAATAATTTCAGCATGAGGTAAGAAAGACCTTCATTAAAACAATACAGAAACAAATTCACGAGAACACAGGAGGGAAGGGACTTGAGATGTTCGGCAATGCTCACCCCATCTCCCATTCTTTCCAAACCCCACAGTTTACTGACTTAGCAAGGTCAAGAACCAGTCCTATCTAAAGCAATTAGAGGCAGCCATGTGACTTGCCAGGCTCAGAGCAAATGAAAAGGCAGAACCTTTTATTCAAAAAGAAGAAAACAACTTGTTACTACAGTTACTAAAATACAAAGTTTTCTCCCTCTGCAGTCTTTCTCTTGATCTATCATGGTGTTTTTAATTTTTTTTTATTCAATGCTGTTTTAAATATAGAAAAATTTCAAATTATTAATAGGAATTTTATCATTTGTCTTTTTATTGTGCATGCCAGTCTTAAATGCAAATATAAAAACACTGAACTCATATGGAGAATCACCAAAATTACATAATATTTTGTAGTTTTTAATGCTTCGTTAGGATCAAAATAATGGAAATGCTGCAGAACATTGGTCAACTGTCTTTATTTCACTTCTCAATGCTCTCTACCTATATTCTCCACCTTCAACCTTCAGATGGATAAAGAAGGAATGAAAGGAAAGGTAACTATGGTTCACTCTTTCTTCTTCGTGTAATTATTTCTATCATATGTGATTGACTAATCAGGAATGTAACACGAATAAAAAAGTATATATGAGCATACTTTGATTTTTCGTTTCTTAAAATTCCATTGTCTTTTATCTACACTTGAAGTAGGTCCTTATTCATAGGGATATCAAGCAACCCCTCCCTCCCTTACTCAGTAGAAGACCTAACCCACTGCCTAGCACTTGCTTTGGTTTAGGTAAACTCCTAAGCATCATGGGTTCACTGGAATGCTTTGCTCGCCAACCATGGTGAACACCCCATGGAGCAACAGTGAATCACAGCAATCACGCTTATTATGTATCTTCATTGCTCAATTGCTCTATTTGATTTTGCTTTTAAAAATATGTGTTCTGGGGTTTCCCCGGTGGCACAGGCGGTTGAGCACAGCACTGTGAAGCTGTCCGCAGCCTCTGCAGTGCCTATTTGATCCCTGCCAGCCTCGGAGCAACCCACATGGTGAACAGACCTCTCCTGTCTCACCCGCTGCTCCACTCAGCAGTGTGTTTCCTCAGTCTGTCTGTTTTGTTCCCTGCTCTGTCTCTGGTGAACCCTCGCACTCTCCCGCGCATCTGGCCTATACCCCGGCTCTTGTATAAAAAAAAAAAAATCTTAAAAAAAAAAAAGTGTTCACAGATAAAATTATTAAGATTCTTAAGATGGTAATAGCAAAGCATTAAACCAAGTCTGAGACCCTCCTAAGCTCCTATATGACTGCACAGTGTGTGTGCCCATAAAGCCTGCCCCTGGGACAGTTGAATTAATGTTCCCTCTGTCTCTTTACTATTATGTAAAGAAACTGCTTCTTCCCCAAAATTATTTCTTATTTTGATCACAGAGCTGTTTCAGAAGGTTTTTTTGTGCAAAATTTACCCCTAATTTAGAAGCCCAGCCTTTTAAAAATAAGCAATAAGGCTAACAACAATGCAATCTATAACTCAATCTCATAAAAACTAGGCAGTAGAACTAACCACTTATAGGAAAACATACCTAGAGAAATAATTTTTGACTCTGCTGCTTGCATCAGTTAAGTTACACAAGAAGTTTGAAATGATTTTAGCTAGCATCTTGTTGCCAATTACCAATTTTTACCTCACACATTCAAGGTCCTGTAACAATGGTCCATGTAGCTAGTCCACTAACTAATTTTAGTTTAGCAAAGGAAGTTCAAGGCCAGATGGCATCCCTGTCAACCAGGAAGCAAGACAGAAGAAGTAGTTTGCAAGAGAAAATTTGCTTTTCAATGAGAGCAAAGAATGCTTGTATTTTTCAATGTATG